ATTATAAAATTATTTTACTATATTACTGGAGATACAAATTTTAATTACTGGTAAAAATCATTATAATGATTAATGGCGAAAAAAAATGTAAAAGATGTAGAATTGTAATGGGTGGACCACTGTTTCAAGGTAACTGTTATAAGATATCTATTCACCTTTCATTTCTTGTATACAAATTTTTCCATCCTCATTTTAAAAAAAAAAAAAAAAAAAAAAGAAAAAAAGGTTGTATCACTATTAGTGTCATTATAGAAATTTTAAAAAATAGAAATAAAAAACTGTTCCTTAGAAGTGTAGTATTTTGTCAAGTTTTCCAATCTTCCATGGAATGATTTTTCTGAATCCGGAACAAGGAAGTATTGATGCTCTCTATTTTGTCCAGAAAAGTATCAATTTATCAATTAAACTGTTGGTTGATCCAGCTGAATACCTTTACCACTTTCCCAACACATGAACTTCAAAATGACCACTGTTTTAAGAATTACTTGGAACTAACGAATTTGAGTTAACCAGTTCCATTCATTTTACCATACTAGCATATATATATATATATATATATATAAAGAGAAGAAAAAGAAAAAGAAAAAGAAAGCTAATTCATTACTTTATTTACTACCAAATGGATGGAGGGATAGGAGAAAACAAAACTTTTTGGAACCATGTGAGGGTATTTTTCATAGAGCAATAGAGGACATCAAAAAGAGGAGAATATGTGCTTGTGAAGAAGTCTCTATGAATCTTTGAAAGAAGTAGAAAGGCGCCCCTGTACACTTTTTAAGGGAAATGCAATGGTGACAAAGATAGGAAGAAGGTGATTTATTAAAATAATAAAAATCACTAAGCTAAAGAATCTAATATGGGTTGGCGCTTGAGGAGAATTACTACAAGAGTGTGAGTGCATCACAGTCATTGCACGCAATACATTGTCTTTATCCCCATTTGGTGTCAAAGAGAATGATGTACAAACTTTTTCCACTCTATCCTCTAAATTCCAATTTCTAATCTTATAAAGTGGGGATGTCAATGGTTGGAAACACCATTGGTAATAGTATGTTATCAAATAAGGTTTTTGGGGCCATCTATTTACCTGTAAAACTACATGTTTTGGTGTTTTGATTAAATGCATGATTGGTGCATGATAAAATGTTTTTCCATTAGATTTGCACAGTGTGAAGTATTTGGAAGTTCTTGCCACTGATCTCCTTTTCAGAACTTTGACAGTAAGGCAGAAAATCCACCAAACAAACAAGCAAAAGGGAATTTTATCTTATTGTATATATATTTTCTTCAAGAACTGTTACAGTGGAAAGCTCATTTCTTACACTTTCTGTGACACATTCTATCTTCAAAGGTTCTAATTTGTTGCATCTCTATGCAAGCTTCATGGGTTTTGAAGCCGAATGGATTTTGGTCCAAATTAGACTGCTCAACATATTTTATTTATCAAATATGGATCTATTCTACACAACTTTAGGTCATGTAGTATGCATTTGTTTACCTTGAAGAGCATCCTCTAAATATCAGAATTTTCCAGAGTATATTACTTTGATTCTGATTCTAACTTAGTAATAAAACAGAATAAAATCAAAAAACGAAAATCTTGAAAAATACCTCCCCCTATAGATATACATATATATAGTTTTGATTTCCTTTTAAATAAAATTTTGTGTGGAACTTCACATATACTTTCCATTTTAAGTGATATGGCAACAGCAAGCTAGAAGAAAAGCATCCATCTAACCTACACAACCATATTTTGAAGGAAAATTGCAAATTTGCATCATATTCACACAAAGATAATTCTAGTAGCTATTAAATCAATCTAAGCTAAAATAGAAACAATTTTAGAATTGAATTAAAAAACAAAATAGAATGTAATAAATTTCAGGTAATGAATAGGAAGTTATGTCAGGTGTATGTAGTTATTATGTTTTATATTGTTGAAAAATTACAGTGATGAATCCATGACACATTGTCAATGCCAAATTTTACTTTCATACATTTTTGCAGATACATTCTAAAAAAAAAAAATAATCATACTATTTTTTAAAAAATCCACACACACATACAGATATATATATATATATATATATGCAAAAGCCTTTAGCAAGCCAAACAATTGTTTAGTACTAAATGGTTTTTCAATTAGCATATCAAGGATTATTAAATTTTGCAAAATTTTCATATAAACAAGGAATTTGGTTTGCAATTTCTTGTAAATTAGAATTCAGAATCCACTTTAAGAAATTGCAAACCTGTAATGCACATTAACAATTAAATTTTCATTTAAACTAAATTTCCTTTCAAGAATTTCACAATTTGTTTTGATAAATCCTTTTAAATTCTTCAATTTTCGTCAATCAAATATTAACTTCCTTTTCTTAAATATTCATCCAATGATTGAACTTCCAGGACAGATAGAAAAATTTAACCTGTTGGTGAATTTCAAAGACAGACACAAAACTACATTTATAACTTAAATATGCAATCTCCAAACTCAACTATCTATCCTGTTTGACATGATTCAATGTTTGATTTTATCTTTATACATAAAAATACACCAAACTTAACTAATGATTTTCAGAACATGTAGTACATTCAATCATGCTTTCGTTTTGAAAAAAAAAAAAAAAAAAAAACATTTTATGCGAAATTATTATACCTCATGCCATCAAACCAAAAATTCAATTGTCTTCGATGATTGATTGTGTGGTTCCCAATTACAACACTACGTCACTGTTATTACAATCCCAAGTATGTAATTTCAATACCAAGTTACTGCTATTCTGTGCAACCCACTAACCATAATAGTTTCCACTCTGAGTCTACCAATTCATCATTGTGGGAGTTGCGTTGAATTGATTCTCATTTTGTTCATGTCAAACAGCTTATGAATTTTTTACGAAATTGAAAATTTGGCTCGCGTCTGTAATGTTGTCGTCTTTGATCTCATTCCAACAATGTTCTGTGGTTGTAGGATTTAGTGGTTCTGTCAACATTTGCAGGACTTCTTCTCTCGAACAAAGGGAAACTTCCAATGCAGGATTCAGATCCATCTTTTAGGAATACTAGGGAACTTTACACCTCTGGCAATGAGGCTTGGCATAATATGCACAGTATGCACATCAATTTACTTATCTCCAGGACCACCATGAAGAACAACTTTCAAGCTTTGTGTGCAATACTTTGGTTTGACACCATCTTCCCAGGGCATTGTATCGACACAGATTGTGTGTGATATACAACTGTAGTTGAAACAAACTTGCCCGATTGTGTATTCTTAACACGATACAATGGGGAAAAGTCGGCCTCACTTAAGATGTACCGCACAGTAAACGACTTCCGGGTGGGTTTATAAGAAATGCAAGAGTTAAAAGGTATGGACAGCGTAACAGTGTGCTCACCTCAGACATTCACTACCGACTAGGACATACAAGGCAGATAGATCCTACGCAATATACCACACAACACAATCAGAGACTGGCACAAGCAAGTTTGTGATTGAATATATGTATATGTGAGCAGACTTAGACGAACTTCAAAACATATTAAATAAGATGATGTATGCATCAAAGTGAACCACGGATCCACGAAATTGGAGCCCAGGCTTTCTGTAGAGCACGACATTACTCTTAGTCCAGTCTGAAAGCAATGTAATTATAATGGAAATTACTCCGCTGATGATGAGACAGGACTGTATCCCAGTCATACAATAGCTCTACCAAGAATCTCAGGGACGGACCTAACCTAATAATACTTAAGCCATTCAAACATGTGAAGAGACATCCAAATACGCGTAGCCGACGTAGGAGAACAGATGCTGATGCAAGAGCCTGAAACGAGTGTGACACATAGGCTATCAAGGTGATACTTATAATCTTGCTTTAGGGCTCAGTGAAGTTTGGAGTGTAGTGGCCGTTACAGAATCCGGGCATCATATTCTGAAACCCTAACCCTAGGTGTCTGCTAATATGTCAATGTTCCGGTTATCAATCCACCACATCCACAAACATTTGTCGTTCATTTCTCATGGATGCAATACCCAATGGAGTAATTGAATATAAACGGCACCTTCATGTGATTTCTGCTGGAATTGGCGCCGGGAGCGGAGATTGATTACGCGAGGGTGTGACCATAATATGCAATTTCGCAGAGGATCAGAGATTTTGCAGGGCGTGTCGCATTTTGCTGCTCAGTACTGGGCCAAGCGAGGGGGACGTGGATCCGAACTGCTGCCACATCGTCGATCCCAAAATTCGCATCACCGATGCCGGAGAGTGGAAGCAGCTGCATGCCGGCATAATAGAGAAAATCTGTGAGAGTAGTGACTGAAAAGCTTCTTTTCTGTGTCTCCATACGAGAGAACTGTGCGCATCCTGAAGGAGATTGGTAACGCTTTCGACAAGCGGTACTTAGTGGGGTTACGCGTGGAGCTCGCATCGAGGATCAAGACTTCGGCAATTTTCTGAAGCATAAACAAATGGAGGGTATCAAGGACACGCAAGAGAGTAATGGGACATTTTTCTCCAGGTTTTGAGGATGAGTCGATCGCGTCTCGAGTATGTGATCTTACATCAATTCGCTCTAATTTTCCCACTTGGAACTAACTTTTGGATACCGAAGATTTGTGGGATACCAACCTGCAATTTTGAGATACAGGCTCTTTTGAGGGCTTGTGGCGAGACATAGAGAATCAAAGACTTTGCACCAAGCCCAAAGAAGTGAATCTCCTTATCCTATCCCATAATATGACCACGAGAGTGCTTCTGATGCACATTCTACGACACGGCAACCGATGCCCAAATACATCCGGACTTATTCAGTATAGAAAACCCATAGGGGGAACATATGCCTGAGAACAGAAAACAGAGAACCTAACCAAGGTCAAGACGAGCAACATGATTAAGACATATATCCAAGTCTGTGAAACCTTAACCACACCTTCAAATCAACTCAATTTTGTGAAACTTCAAAAACATTCTCCGTTCAGGGCTTCGCTCTTGACATAATATGGTGTTTTATAAACATCGTTCAAGTACACAAAAACTCTGTCTGGTTGCGAGAGCAAACAGAGTTGACGCTCGGATTAAAGGATGACTGCTTACTAACTCGAGAAAACGATGGATTTTTTTACAACTATTCATGAAGCACGAAACTGTTCGACACTCCTTGTGCGTGACCGTAACTATACTTTCTGAACCTCTCCGTGCAATTTTCAAACCTGCACCACTGTATTTTTAAATTGATCGACCTCCTGTGGCACCTCAAATATTTCAGTTGCCCACGCCCTGATTGCAAAACTTAATAAGAGATAAATCCGAGGTTGAGGTTCAATTTGACATTCCCTCAGAACCTTCTTCAAACATTTTCAAGGATGCATTAGGAAACTTGAACTGGTCAGCCACTCCCATGCTACTTGCGAGATACCTAACCAGAGATTCAACTGTGGGAGTATTCGAAAAGACCTCCTCAGGCAGCGCAGGACAACACCTCGGTAGAAACTCAGGCTTGCCACGAAACTTTGAATGGAGTGCAAAAACTCCTCGACATAAAATGAATCTACACAACAATTTTAAAATGAGCGTTCCAGTTTACAGCCCACAAGGTAAAACTACAAAATGAAATCCCTTTCATGAGCAAGAGCGTTTTGAGTTCGAAAAGGAAGGAGTCGACCAATTCTCGAACCTTAATACATACCTTAGTACAAGTTGACGGAGGAAAGGATCGTACAACACACGAGCCCAGGTGTGGTTGATTGAGGATGATGCGGCCAGGATGTTGCCCAAGTCCGCCATTAGTGTTGATAAGAACTTCTCCGTATGTTCAAGTTGGCCCTGCGCACATCACATCATGAGACTTTGTCCAGCATGGAAGATTGAAAAGCAATCAAAAAGTGGAAGTTGCCAACGGGACCTACCTTCTGTAAGGTTTGTACTGAGACTTCAACAACTCGGCAAAACGCAAGAAATGGGGCAGTCAGGAAGTATGTGAACATGTTGCCACAGCTATTGGGGTGATATGTAGAAGCTGGTACTCCCATGCCTTTCTCATCAGGGTGCAAGCTCGGTGACAGCAGCAGAACTGCTGGTTCTCCTCTCTCGTTTCCAATCAGACTCTGTCGTGCGTGCAACCCCAGTTCAGTAATGCACATGCTCTCATGTTCTAGTCATCATTAGCACTCCTCTCTTCAAAAAAGATATTTAAGTTTTATCAAAAGTCCAGGCACTTAAGAATATTACTGGTTGATTGAATAGTAGCATCACCTCGAAGACAGAGCTGTTATCACTGTCAACCACAATGAAGAGAGGGCGACGAGTAAATGGAAGAATGTCACTCGGATGGAGGAAGTCATCACCTGAAATAACACAAATCGTCAACACTACTCCTGGGAAACTCAACTGTTTGAGATGTAATTGAGTTCAGATTGACGCCCCACCGTAGGGCGTCAGTGACAATTTGCAGCACATGAAATAATTGAATGAAATGAAGAAGAGCATTACCTGGGCTACGCCTTGAACCCAGCCAAAGCCCAGGTCCGAGGCTATCAGGAAACTCAGGGAACCTCCGATCCCCGGGAATTCCTTTTCTAGGACTGTCTGCAGGCGTACTTGCTGCTGAGGTGTCACTTTGGTCAACCTCAACTGTCATACCGTCCACACTAGGTCTCACGTAAGATTGAATCTGAGAGACTATTAACTGGTTTAAGCTTAGAGTAGGAGTCAAAGAGACAATCTTGTCATTTTCCGATGACATATCCATCATCAAATTTGCTGAGGATGGATGATGAAACATCGAGGACCGCGCTGACTTGCCTGCATCAATGGGATGTAGCCCCAGCCCCAGCCACAGATACACAATATATCAAACTTTTGGCCATATAACAGGAAATTCGAAACACTAAAAAAGCAAGCCTTGACCCCGCCTAAATATTCCCAGGTGCAAAGCTTTAGGCTCAATGAGATCCATCACTTTGGTGGGTAATTGCCATGGTACAGAAAGGTCGCTCCACCACTAGCTGTCTGTAAATGATACCACTGCTTTCAACAAATCAACTTTCTAAGGATGTTGAGTACCCGACGCAGCCACATATAGCAACACGCAAGAATTAGCTGGCACCTCTTCACACACTGTAGCCAAAACCTGGAGACGGAGGCCAATTCCATGCGTCAACCATCACAAATATCCTGGAGATAACTTGTTTACAGTCGACTTCAAAGATAACTATTTTTGTCAGAAAAAGCCCTTCCAACCCCAATTCAAAATGAGGATCCCAATCAACTGCAACAATACCCTAATAAAACAAATAGCACAGGTAGAAGCTTTTCACTTACGAGAAGAAAATGCTGGACAGATGGTCGATACAAGATGTATTTGTGAGGGTTGGGTGGTAGGCTAGGGTCGGGTATTTCTTCGATAACTCCAACGTGCCCTGATGCGCTCATCCTGCTACTGGGCTCGCTGATACGAGTGCGGTACAGGGAGCCGCTAGGTTCCCATTCCAAGACTTGCAGCATTCGAAATGTGTCAAGAGACAGCTCACTAAACTTGATCTGAAAGCAGGCGTTTACATTCGTTGTTGGTAAAGGTTGGTAATGAAATTCGTATAAGTAATGTGAGTTCTGTTCAACAAAGAAATATAATCTTCTAAAAAGCTTTGGAACTAATAAGTTTGATGAAAAATGTAACTGATGAAATGAGTTTTTACCAGAAAAATCAGATTTCTCTAGACAGTTTAGATGGCAGCAGATCCAACGTCTACTAGTGGATGGAGGTGCAATATGAGCAAAATGATTAGTTAATTAACCAAGAGAAGGGAACTAGCCTCCTTGTGATAGTAGCTTGCAAGAATAGCATCTTCCAGTCGCAGAGGTTTGGCGCCTTCCAGCTTTTCCACCACTGGAATTGAGGAAGGATGAGAATCCAGCAGCACGCTGTATCTCAAAGGCCTGCTCATGTCACATGCAGCATCAGCTTTCATGAATCGAACTATCTCTTGCACCACCACCCTCCACTCCTTTGCGTCAATGCCCTGCATCCCCAGAGACCAACACTTACTCTTCTCTCAACCAGAAAAAGAACATCCAAGACAAATTCCCACAAGTCATACTCTATGGGAATCCTCACTCAAGTTCAAGATTAACAGAGAAGTAAAAGTAGTAAGAAAAGAATTAATGGCTTGGTAGGAGAGCAGGAAACGAGCCTGGCATGTGCGGCTGAATCCCCCCACAAGGGTTCGCAATTCACGCATCAGCAGCTGCACCTTCTCCCTTCGGTTTAGCAGCAAGCAAATCACAATGAATCGTGCAAAGTAGCGCAACTGTTTGTTGGCCAAGAAAGCATCCTTGTCATCATCCTTAAAATAATCGCGTGTCAAGATAGCTTCGTAGAAAATGAATGCCTCCGTCAGGAACTTGACATCGCTGGTGCGCAGATAGTAATTGTAATACAATTGCCCGATTCGAGAAGCGATATCGCCTACTTCCCAACGTTTTAAGCCAGCGTCTACCAATTGGAGACGATTCTCTTGTTGGTACTTCCATAGCTTGGAGTACACCTAGGCATGGCCTCATTTTTCAAATATCTCAGTTAAATCCTTCAACATTCAGAAAGGGCTCCTTGAAACCTGCTTCATATTTGATAATTTACAAAAGCTTCAGAAGAGCGAGTGGTTCACCTGAAAGGCCTTGTGAAAATAGTAATCCCATTTGTTGCGACCACAGGGAGGAAAGTCCCGCAGTCTAGCAAACTTGCTGTGAGCCTTGTTGACTAAGGCTAGGTATTCCTCACTAGGAGAATGAACTAAAGATCCCATACGTCCTCTCTCCGCCTGGAACACTCATATCACTCCTTCACTGCAATGTCACCCGGCACATACATCAATTTGTCTCAGAACCAAAAGATTGTGTAAATTTAGGTCACTCAAGATTATCAGGTGAAATGCAGAGGCACTTTCCATGTGCCGAAAGAGAAAACAACGACTAACTCAAGCAGTGCAAAGCCTAGATTGTAAATGGAAAGCCAAAGAACTCAGGTAAAGGGTGCGAGAATTGCCAACGACAGCATACAATCGGGTATTTAAAATTGAGTTACTCACCCCTAACCCCCTGGAGCTCCAATCCCAGCTAGACCCAAGTCCAGATCATCAGAACTAGGAGCGTAAATGAAATTCCATCATGTCTTAAATCGTGAGATACTATCGCACAGCATGGAAGCAGGCCTCCACACTACAAAAGGAAATTAAGATGGGTGAGAGTGGGAATCAAACAACTGAATCCAAATCACCAAGAGAAACCAAATTAAGCAAAATCAAATGCGATAGGAATCAACCAAACTCCGAAGCTCATCGCGATGGGAACCTCAGCAGCCCCCTTCACTCCGCACTCACCCAGCGTCACCAACCACAACCTAACTCACACAGAAATCAAAACTACGCCACAAGCCCTTCGCGGCAGAGGAAAGTTTGATCAAAGTGGACGAACGGGGCGAAGGCTGCTCTGCGACTTACCAAACGCACCATGCCAACCCCCTCCTCGCCCAAACATCCTCCGCCGACATGCAATGGAAAGCTCCCACACTTTAAACCTCAACAAATTTCCCACAACGATGAAACTAACTCACCACCAAACGCCACCCAACGAGGAGATAAACGCTAAGCAGATGTCATCGTGGCTCACGTTCCAGTTTGCATGGCAGCGTTCATCGTTGTACCAGCTCCGAAGCTCATGAGTATAGCCCTGTTGACTGAGGCAACCTTCTCAGAATGCGAAGGCGGGGCCTCGTTTTTTAAAAATAGAAAACCAGAGTGCATGGAATGTGATGGTTCTCAGAGGAATAATTCTTCTACTTCTTCTTCTTCTTCTTCTTCTTCGTGCTGTAAAAAGGGTCTCTCTTAACAACGCCGAGTTCGACCTTTGACGAGGAGGGGTAAGTAGTAAGTAGGGCAGTGATCACATCGCCGAAGGGAGCCCTTGGGGAGCTCGTCGACTGTCTGTGTCTGTGTCGCGTTGTGTTTGGGGCGAGAGTGGAGCGATGCGGTAATAATAGCCGTCGCCATGGCTCACTGTCAGCTAATTCACAGAACAGGACCAGATTCTGTTCCTTTTATAGTGGTTTAATAAAAAAATTGAATCCTCTATGTACATATAATTTAAATCTGCATTGGGTTTCAGTATAAACTATCCTTCATGCTGGACAACTTCTAACTTACTAATCTAAATTTGATGATTGTGGAATCGAGGTCTTCCCTGAACACGTCCTTGCTTATATTATAGTTTTCGAAAGAGTCGTGGTTTTGGAAAGAGTTTATCGCAGCATTCATCTTCAGAATCTCTAAGAATGTTACCCCAAACAATCCGAATATTAGGTCACTTCACATGAATTCCTTTTGAGATTAAGTATCGTTTCATGTTGGACAGTTTGAAACTCAGTAAACACTTTCTTCATCTTAAAAGGTGTACAACATGGAACTTGAGTCAACACCCACAAAATCTTAGATTATCTAAATGAAACATGACCATGCAATTAGTGTACCTGCGGTCTACCTTCGTCACATGTCCTTCTGCCGAGGGATTTATTGAGTAACTAAGTTTTTTGTTATTTGACAAAGTGACTTTCAGGCAAGGTTTTCAAATGATAAACGGCGTCTAATTTTATGAGGATTTGAATTATATGGGGTCCGAGTTTGAGCTTAGGGGTTCTGGTATGGTGAATGCAACACCCCCAATTCATTGCATAATAAGTCCAGTAATTCTCCCGGTTCAGATCGGAGGCGACGATCTCAGAAGATGAGCTTAGAAAGGGGTCAGACTGCGATATGAGGGGGCAGACATTGCAGTCAAAATGTCAGTGACGGAGGCCATGGAAGAGAGTGCAGCCTTCAGCACCTCACCTGCACATCCAGGCTTCACAATCTCCTTCACCTGCACTACCAATTCACATAGACAAGAGGAGTCACAAAAACGTGTCTCTCTAAACAGGGCACCATTCGGTGACTGAATAGCAACTTCGGCAAGTCAAAACTGTCAAGCTTATGCTCCGACACATCATACTATGAGCATATCTAAAAGGGGACCGCAAGTGGACACGAGCAGCACAAACTGGTAACTCACACAGGAATTATGGACTTGCCTTGTCAAGATATGCATAAAACTCTTGAATTTCGCCGATGTAGTCGTTATCTTCTATTGAAAGAGTGATTGTTGTTAGATCTGCGCCAGGACCAGCATATTGGATGGGACCAGGATTTCTGTAAAGATCGTCCATCAACCATGAGCTTGCATGCTGCGTCAATAACCTGTAGACACACAAACCTCAAGTTGATTGATCAATTGGTGTCAACTGTGTGAGGAAAGCGTAACGTAGACTACGCAAGAATTCGAAAAGCAACCACCTCGAATTTGCATACTCTGTTGACAACATGGGTAAATTGAAAAGACCAGTAAAGGTCCAAGAAATTTACCCATAAGGTTTGCCCTTCAAGTCCACTTCGGTGGTATGCACAGCAGGCTTTCCAGTTTGAGAAACACCAGGACCTCGCAGCCACCGTTTTACTGACATCATTGCCTGTGAACATGATTGCACAACATTCAGAGAGTTCAATTCCGTAGGAAACACTTGGAAGTAACCCGTTCCTTTGTGATGCAGTAGGTAACAACGAAACTGCTATGATTTGAAGTGTTTCATCACCTTGTTTACACTCGGTCATGCAATGTAAGAATTGGCTCACCGTGAGGGGTGCTCCTCCACAACGCCACTCAGAAACATCCTGCTTCAGATTTGCAACGGTAGCCATGTATCCGGTCAAACCTGCTTGTGCTACGTAATATGCAGTCTGTCCCAAAGTCTGTTCCCATATGCACAAGAAATCAGTATTCCATGGAGGGACAGCAAGAAACTGTTCTGTATCAAAATCACTACACTACAGAGATGTAATCGTTGTAACACGGCGTCCCTCATAGCGCACAAAGTTGGGGAACTTCGTAGTTTTCACATACATAGGCGTAATTACAGTCAAAATTGGAGGGCAGAGATCCACGAGCTTGATAACCAAAGAAGTGGCAGATGGCATTGAATTTCTTTCCCTCGTACAATCCTGTCTTCTGTGGGCATAATACCACCTGCTTAATTTGATTTTCCTCAAGGAATTATTTCATATAGAATTGCATGAGAACGTTACCGCATCTGAATTCGAATCTAGTCGAAATAGTTGGCCTATATAAAAACTAAAATCCTTATCTGTTGATTGAGACATGCAATTAAAGGTTGTCATGAAGGAAATAACTTCATTAGAGTTTTAAAATAACATTCGAAAGGTCTCATTTAATCAAAAAAAGTTACCGTCCGTCTGATCATTTCGGTGTCCACCAACTGTGCCAACAGTTTTTCTGTCTCGATCTGCGCCAACATGATTATTAAGCATCTGGATAGGTAATTCATTGAAAACACGTTCAAATTCCTAGTATAATAGTATAACATGACGCCAATTCTGTATATAATGTACAGCAGTACAAAAATGTGATTGGAAACCTTACCTGTGACAACTGAACAGAACCATCTGATTCACGGTCTAATAGCAGCTGTGCAACATTACAGAATCTAAAAGTCAGTAGCCATCAAGTCAGTAAATCCAATCGAGTCAAACATAACTTCACGCATGAAAGGCAAATGTGGGTCATCCAAAAATGGACTTACATACCAGAACTTACCTGCTTCTTTATGAAGATAGGGAGAAAATCATATAGAGCGGCTGCCCATAGCGTCAGACGCGAAGATATATTGTCAACACCGATGTCCTCGTCTTGTTTACGAAGAGTATTAATTTCCTGATATGAACACACCAAGCATCAACATACGAGCTTCACACGCTAAACGAAAGTAATTATTTAGTGTAATGTGATCTTTCCGACATTCAAGATGTTCGCCTTTTGAAAGATAAAGATTTGAAGCAAGCGGGATCAATATTAGGAAACACTCCACCTGTAACAATGCACGGAATTCTGGAATTCTTTCTATGAGACCTTCTGGAAGAAGCACAACTCCATAGTTTTTGCCTGTGAAATACAAGGGCCCTATTTAGAGGAACAAACGATCCTTGCAAAGTAATAACCATTTCACTTCGTAGATTTAGTGTGAACAAAACTCTTCAGGCGGGTTGATCAGTTCGTTGCTGAGCCTCAAGTTTTACTCAGAAAATCATAATTTCAACAACCATTCTCGTGGCTGATCATCTCTTATAACAGCACCACACCAGAAAAATAATCTCTCTTCTTTGATGAATATTCACCTTGCTCTCCTCGAGCCTGTATAGCATCACAAATTTGCATCGTTACATCAAACAGAGTCATCTTCGAGTTTGCCACTTCCTCTCCCAGTAAGACCTGCATCCCACTCACATCTCCAGCACGTTCACAACAGAACTGAGCTGCCATAACCAACCATCCACAAGTTGCTCATGAAATCATAAGCCATTAGATCATTTCGGAACGACAGTATACCATATTCGATTGCGATTGAAGAGTGCACTCCAATGAAACATGTGACGCTTGCCGTCCCATGAGTCTGATGAAGTAATAGTACTGCGGTGCTCCCCATCAATGTACGTGAGGGCCAAGTATTAGAAATCAAGGCAAAATAACTTCATACATGATGTCCCGGTCATTGAAACAAAACAAGCGGTAGCAATTGAATAGTGTCCTGGAGCAGTATAAGAGCTATGAATGCATCGTGAAAACTAGCTGAGTAGGATGTATAGGGGCAATAGCATCTCCAGAATGTCCTTTCACCTTTTCAGCAGATAGTGCATCTGTACAGATGTTGCTGATAAGCTGTGAATATACCTGTCAAACCTCAGAGATAAACCAATTACTTTAAGCTCTTTTAAGACGAAGTATGCACAAGCTCGCGAAAAATCAGTCTACGCCATAATCAGATACTAAACTAGCAAATATAGAAAATGTCTTTATACTAGACAACACATATACTCTGTCTACTGTAACACTTGATCTATGGAAACAAATGATCGAGCAAGCAAAGGACCTTGCAAGTGGTATCAAATCCAACATTTGTCTCAACGAACTGATTTTTAAGATCCCCGTCAATAGTCACTGGAATTCCAACCACCTACACGAAAATATAGTCAGAAGTATCAGGAAAACAATTATCCTACAGGTTCATAAGAAAAAAAATTCATGAAGTCTCAGCACTAAAGCTGAAATTGAGAGCAGCGTGATCAATTAAGGCAGCAAAAGTAGATGGACGGCACACAATTCTGCTTGAGAAAATCAGTTTTTTGGACAAGCAACAGTGGTACCAAGGCTGCACAGTTACTAATGAAGGATAACTCGCATCAACTATCACAGTGCCAAAAAAACCATATATTGCACCAAAACCAAAGCATCTTATCGTATCACAGATGGATCAAAATTTGCTACTAAGTAGCAATATCAATGTTATTGATGGTTGTTGACCTTTGTTGTACATCCAGATTCCAAAAAGAACTCTGCTAGTTGGGCAGCATCTGAATTTGTGCCACAACCTAGTCAAAATAGTTGAGAGTAGAAATTGTCAAAATAAATTCGTTGTAAAGGATCAATTCAAGAGACAAAACAAAGACAGATAACGAGGATAGTGAACCTTCTGTTAAAAATACACATGATGGAGACGATGCAACGTTTCTCCAACATTGCAAATCGACAACTAAATCGAAATGGCCGGCTGTCCAAACTGGCCCGATACCAACAGTTAATATTTATTTTAAATGACTGGAACCAGACCATGCAGCGCGAACTAGTAACACAAACACTGTAAAGCTCTCATCATAAACAGACAATGTATATTACAGGGCAGACCTCCGATAAGAACAAGGACGTCCAATTTCAAAGCTTCACATGCAGCCTTGGCATCCTTGATTTGCTGATATGACTTAATCTGATCCTTTGTTCGGCCTAGAAGGTCATATCCTCCTGCACAGACCACGATAATTTGACAGGAGTTAGCCAAACCTATCGAACAGCCACAAAATCATCCAGTAAGAGTCCAGCATTTTATAACATACCCAAACCCCAATAGACACAAGACTTCCATGCCTCAAGCTACTGAAGCACTTCATGGCATAATTGGCAGGCGACAGGTGAACATACCCTGGTTGCGAAAATCCTTCAGCATGTCGTTCGTAAGTTCCACGGTCCTCTGAGAAAATATACCTTCCGTGCCGCCTACATATCGACACAGGAAAGCACTAACAGTATGAGTTGCTGTTTACGGTGGTGAAGGTGTGAATCCTGTGTGTGAAACATGAAAGGATCTAGTGTGCACATGGTTGCAGAGATCTTAGGGTGCATTCGTATGGAGCTACGACAAACCATCATTAAGAAACTAGTTTCAAAGTGTTCCATTCTCAAGAGCATCTAATCAGGATATTCAAATTGATCTTGATGTTAAAACGAAAAATAATATTAAGTATTGACATGTGATGAACATATAATGTGTTCAAGTATCTCATACTGTGAAGAAAATGGAAATAATGGTCATCCCTTCTATCTAGTAAGAAAATTCAAACTTTGTGTAAACGCACGTTTCAAAATCCGAGGGTTCATTTTATCCAGTTTTCATTGTACACATAAAGGGAATTTCAAATAATTTTCGCATGACTAGTAAATTTGCACTCAACAGCTAACTAAAGCCAGTTTGAAGTTCATTGACGAGGCATCAATAAAAGAGAAAAAGAATACTCAAGCAGAGCACTGAGAATAGTGGGTGGAAGAAGGTGAAAAAACAGGCAATGACCTGCTATTCTTCAACACAACTCGGCACCTATGAAATGTAGATAAGTCAAACAAAAATATAGAATGCCTGCATATGGGAGATGCCTGGTGATTAAATCTCACAGTCAGACGCATACCAATGAAGCCAATCAGAATACTGTTTGCATTTTGGCTCTTCAGGGCATCAAACAATCCTGTAATGACGTTGTGACCTCCGGGCGATTGTCGCCCACAAAAAGCGACACCAATTCTGCTAGCACAAAGAAGATCGAGTTAGAGCTCTAGTTTCGTGTCGGCCTTCTGCATCGAATCGGGACCCATTAACAGGTTTAGAGGAGATATCTCAAGGTTCAATACACTCATAAAACGGCGGAAAAATCCATCATTCATGCGGATGCATCTGGCATGTCAGGGTGCATGCTAAGCAGAAGTGTAATAACAGGATGAAGGTTTGGGTACCTGAGAGGTAAATGCTTTGCTGTTGTAGCGTTAGGTCCCCCAGAGGACATCAGTTGCACGAGAGGTAGACCATACGTGTGTGGATATGCTTCGCTCACGGCAAGGCGATCGGATAGTTCAGCTGTCGCGGAGGCATCCCCCACAGAGACCTTCACACTGCCACACTGCAGCGGACTTACCCACCAATTTAACAACCACGTTGTAATGCCTCCCAAATGGATTCATGAGAGGCACTAGCATCAATTATAAGAATTAATCCTGCCAGCTTACGACACCGCAAGCCTAATATCACGGCATAAGCACTGAAGCATGCAGGAAAACGGAGACAAATAAAGTGTATACACAGGCAAAGTTCAATTGGGACAAAACATTCCAATTCCACGTAAAACCAGCAACCTCGCAACAACCATGCAAACCATGAACCTATCCCTGTCTGTTCGCAGTGCCTAATACAAGCACGTCTGATCCCTCCACAACCATCTCCATTAACACCGAAAAAGAACCTCCATCAGTAACTCCGCCGCATGAGAACCTCACTACCCGTTACAGTGCCAGCCAAAACATGGCCAACAACCACCCGCTCCTCACCATATCCACTTCTCCAATTCCCCAGAACCGTGCCAAGCGCACTGCGAAAGTCACCTTCAACGCGGGCGGAACTCGAGGCTGATACTGAGCTCGCACCGCCGACAAGCCCTGCAACTTAGACACCTTGCGATGGAGCTCGATCCCCATGACTGCACCCACTTCGTCCCTCCACCCGCTTCACCTGAGAATGCTAATGCTGCAGACCTCGTGAAGAAATCAGCTGCTAGGTGACGGCGAGCGTGACAATCAAGCCCCTTGGCGAACACCTAGGGACCTCCGCATATGCCAAACTTCTTCGAGGAGACTGATCGACGAAGATCTCATGGCATCGAAAAAGCAACGACGGCAGCTGTAGATGTGCAATCGGAGAGACACGGCGAGCGGCGACGAGGACTGTTTTAATTCGATCCTTGCAGCACAAAAGAATGTCCCACCTATCGATCTGGCTTGTCCCAGTCACTCACTGTCCAGCAGAACTCGGGGCAAACTCGGGGTTAAACTCGAGAGGAAGGTGGTGTGGTGTTGCAAGCATTCGGCCCATTTTGGGCGAGTTTTCCAATGAGGGTATGAATTGTGTGAAGCTTGGGTCATGCCCTTGAGAACCATGCAAAGGTTGCAGCTGGATATTATAATTATATTAAATAAAAGAGACCATTTGATTTTAAGTATTACAAAAAAAAAAAAAAAAAAAAAAAAAAAATCTCTTCAACCACAAAATTATAATTTTTATTAAATTGGCAACAGATCCTTCAAATTAGACCTCATGCATGTATGAACAAACAAATGAAGTATATGATCGACTCAATGATATTACCAACACATACAACAAACTCAACACCTAACCAACACAACCAACATAACCGACACATGTAGTAAAAGAATGAAAGATGAATGCTACACAAACACAAAATGCATGAGTAACAAACAAACAAAAAATGAATCATTTTTGTACAGTCAACAACAAATGATTTCAAAGGATGAATTATGTGTCCAAATCAAGGTCATGTTTCAGAGACAGTATGGAGCCAAATTGGGGTCCTCTTTATTAATTAATAAATTTATCCCCTCCTCCTCCTCTTTCTCCTTGTTGGATGAAGAGCAACCACACTCTTCGTGGCTCTGGAGGCTTGTAACGCTGGGAGGATTCGAACCACAAACGTGTATGGGGCTGGCTCATGGTCCATGAACCCACATAGTGGGTTGATACCCTGACCTTCTGGGGTGATCCGGATCTCAGGTTCGTCTCGCCTGGATCACCTTATCCCCTTACTTCCTTAGCCTTGGACTTCTCCTTTCGAGCGAGCGAGGGCTCAGTCTGCTTATGATTTCAGCTGATTTGCGAAGTCGGTGACTCGCATTTTGCTGCATCATCGCCATCACCACGCACACAAGAGGGCATCATCCATGGCGTCGCTCTCCACCCTCTTCTCGGGCCTCTCGGTCTCATCTTCCTCTGTCTTCTTTGCTGGAGAGTCTCGCGTTGCCACCACCGCGGAGACCTCCGTGTCATACCACAGCGCAGCTGGACTCGTCATCGAGGCCGCGCACAAGAAAGGGTCGGGCAGTACCAAGAATGGGCGTGACTCCAAGCCCAAGATGCTCGGTGTGAAGATTTACGGTGACCAGCTCGCGCAACCGGGTGCTATCATCGTCCGCCAGCGTGGGACCAAGGTGAGAATATGCGGGTGTTTGGAATGTGGTGATGAGATGATGATGCATTGGGAGAGTTTTGGAGGAGTTTGAGTCGGTGGTGGATGTTGTTGAGAGTAAGGGGATTGAATTTCGTCTGGTGGGGCGTGTCTCTGGTTTTTGTGCAGTTCCACCCCGGCAAGAATGTCGGAATTGGAAGGGATTACACCATCTATTCGTTGATAGATGGGCTTGTGAAATTCGAGAAGTTCGGACCTGACAGGAAGAAGGTGCGTGGCTGACTCTCCAATTCAGATGTGGGTTAGCATTGCTGAGTAACTATTTTTTCTATCTTGCTCTCTGCCTCTCCTCCTCCTACCTTCCGGAAACGAATGGCCTGTGACGCAATGTGGCACGGGCTCTCGAGAAGCCGAAATCGCTCTGGTTACTCCATTTTAGTGCACTGCATTTGTAGTTGTTCCGACTTTCGACATGACATTTGTCGAATACTGCCCTAATTAACCCTCATTTCACGGTCTGACCGTAAGTGGTGTATGGATGCGGTGACATCTGCAGATCAGCGTTTACCCTGCAGAAGAGAAGGTGGAGAACCCCAACAGCAGGCGCGTGAGAATGCGAGAGTTTTTCAGGGAGCGCCGCGAGCGTCGTAGGGCTTACCAGGAACGTATGGAGGAGGCATTCGAACCTAGCCTGGCTTCAGCTATGGCTTCGGCTGAGAACGTCGACGAGTCCGATGAGAAAACTATTTGTTAGGTGGGTGGGCTTCCTTTACTAAGAGCAGTGCTACGGCCCCATGGCCTGACTTTTCATTACTTGCCGGACGATAGTATAGTTGTTTTAGATCTCTTCACAGTTTTGGATTCTAGAGTTTGACTTCTCTGTGGTCAGCACCCTCGATCAATATCCCCGAACACGAAGGTCGTCATTAGGTTTAGAACGTCTTCAGTCGGGGAAATCCGTTGTACGAAAATTATATAGTTTCGTTGACAGCAAGCCTCGCATTCTCAGCTGCCAGTGTTGTCTCGTACAAAGCATACAAGCGTCTTTTAGGCATTGGCAACTGAAGTCGTCGATGTGCAGCGAAGCAAATTATGAATCTCGCACATTTGATGAAACATCATACATTGGCTTCCAAACATTGGGAGTTATTTGATCGTGACAAGTGTATGCAGTACGTAACTGCCGAACAAAAACGTCGCCTGGAATGGAAGAAGCAACCTTATAACCCCTACATCAGAGTGTGATAATTAGCAACTAGAAGAAACATCTAATCACCTCACTTTTGTTTAATAGGTTTCACACTATTTACAGTCCACCGAGCAAGAAATCTAGCTACTTGCAAACTTTTGCTCATACCCAATCACTGCACTCATGTGATGATGTTCATAATATGAGCAAATTATGTAGCGAGTATAGATACCAATTTACTTTGTGGTTAATATCATATATTGATTAGGAGGGAAGGGAAGCTACGTCTAGTGAAAGACAGAGAATTCTATGTCGTCATCACTCTGCCCTTCCCTTCCACCACTTCCTTCCCCTCGTCAATACACATCAAGAAGAAATTAGTGTTTCGAATAAGTTGCACTGAAGTAATAGGGCCCGAATCGAAGATCGTAGCCTATGAAATACCAGTCGATTGAACAATCGTCAACACATTTACGCAGATCTTAAAATCCGGAATAAAGGTAGCAATAATTTTCAGTACAATGTTAATGAAGATAATTCATCGCAACCACCAAGCAGCACACCTCAATGAACTCTCATGGGCTGCACATTCTGCACGCTATATGACTGAGATCGTAAACCCTCATTGTGTGGGGCATTGATCTAGGGTTTCAAGAGGAAAGACGGAAGTCTTGAGCATGGTTTGTTTGCCTGGGGTCCCCGGGTATCATTCATATGGTTAGCACCCAGTTGTTTTCCCCAGTTCTCTGGCGTGCTTCATGGGTTCTGGGTTTTGGACAAGGTTTGCAAGAGATCGACAGAGGGATTTCTGCTTATGCAATCCACAGTTTGATGTGATGTGATGTGATGTGATTGAGTGGAGCTGTTGTTTCTTCGAGGATATGGATTGTCGTGCGTTGCTAGTTGGGTGCGTTGGCAGAATTCGAGAAGCTGCTGTTGAAGGTTAGAAGAGTTCTTTGGATGGAGAGATTAGGAAGGGGCTTGCAGAATGGGGGCGATGGGCTCTGATAGGAATTGAAGTAGGGGGTATATTGATTTTGCGAGGAATTTAGGGTGGGTGTCTCGCAGTCTGTAGCGATGATGCGCACAACTTGGTTAAGCACTGCTGCTAGAAGAGGTCTATTGCCTTCCTTACGTATACGCCAATTTTCGGCCCCTCTTTGCCGGGTGCAATTTTGCGCCAATGTGAAGTTCGGAGACGATGCCAAGTTTGGGGACGCTGTAGGTTTAGTGGATGCTGCGAAGTTAGTGGCCAAAGAGTATGCGGAGCTTGAACTAGATTCAATTGAGAACCAGGTTTCTACCACTTCCATTTATATCTTTTTGCGTGGAGTTTCCTTTGCTTGTGTATTTAAAAAATAATAATTTACGAGATGAATTTTCACACCAATATGAGCTGCTCTGGTCGTGTTCATGTGGCTGCATGCTGGCTCCCTCTAATAGTGTACCTGAGGGATGTGCTCTAGGTTTGTTTATCGTGAATATTTACTACTTCTGATAATGGAAATCCTATGTGATTGAGTGGTGATTGATGTGAATTTTGTCAGAAGCGGAGTTTGATTGTGTTTCTTTGTGTGCGTTGTAAGATTTAGACGATTAAAGTGACTTGGGTATTTTGACCTACGCAGGTCGGGCTAGGGGTGAGGGTGCGCCAGCATGTCAATCCATTCAAGGCTTCTCTTACGGTTTGTATGAAACCCTCATGAGTGACTGCACAAAAGGGCACTTTCCTTTGTATTGGGTGATTAAATTTAGCTCTCATGTTGATATTTTCTAATGATCGAAAATCAAGATTCCTTGTGCAATTATTGTGCTTTACATATACTTCTCATGCGTGTAATGGTTGTTGTGTTAGTTCCTGCTTCTGAAACGATCGGATTTTCATTACTTTGCATGGAAGGCCGTCATGAACTCTTTGATGATACCAGCTGCAAATTGCTTTTCTTTGCTTAACAACGACTCCTTACAGGCTCCTATGGTTCCTCCTGCATGGGAAACTGAGTTTGCGGACCCAACGTTACCTCTTCATGTAGATATCGGCTGTGGTATGTTGGCTCCTTCCAAGATTTTCTACAAATTTGTGCACTGAAGTTTTCCATGCATCACATGGAAAAGACGTGTACAAGATTTTGATGACCACACTCTTATTTACAATGTGCTTTTTCCATCTGTTGGCGTCTTCTCTTTTGAACGTCTGCGTGCTGAAAGGACATCTGTTTGTGCATACTAGTTTCTGACATTTTTGCAGGAAGTGGTAGGCTCTTGTTGGTTTTGGCCAAAAGACGCATGGGATCGTCCAATTTTTTGGGCATAGATATACGTGATAAGGTTTGTGTAGATCACCTTGAATACTGATTAACATACTCACGAAGTCACTTTACACTAGGGTTAGCTCTTTGAGAGTGAAAGAATGCTGTTGTTGCACGTAGAAAAAGCTTGTGCATGCTGTTGCGACTTGTCACTATCCTTCCTAGATTGTGTGACAAGCAGTTGTCTTCAATGTGCGACGCAGTTGAATGTCACCTAGATATTACCCCGGTTGGTATTTGTTGGAACTTGACGCATCCTATTCTAATCTTATCAATATCTTGTTTTGCAGCTGTTGCAACGCTCAAGAATATGGGCTGAGGAGCTTAATCTTACGAACATGTAAGTTGGGATTTTCTATGTTATCTATACCTTGTGGATTATTTCTTAGATGATATATCAGGTCATCCATGGATTGGACAACTCGTTAGAGTTTTGATATCATATTGCTATCATCAAGTCAGGATTTGTGCATAGTTATAAGAAATCATGAACTTGTTTTCTAGAGCAGGGCCAATGCGCCTCTCTTTGATTGAGATTCTTCTTGTCCTCATATTCCATACGTTTGTCTTTGTCTTGGTTGCAGACATTTCATGGTTTCGAATGCAACTCTTGCTTTGAATGCAATATTGTTGAAATACCCTGGACCAGTCAAGCTTGTTACAATACTAGTAAGCTTCAAGCTATCATCAGCACCTACAATGGGATTCCACTAGACAATCACACAGTGTCTAATGGATTGCAGTCGTATCTCTATGGCAGCAAGTTGGTTTGAAGAGGCTTCTGAATCAAACAGCTGTGTCAATTCGCAGAGTTGAGAAACGCACTTTAAAATCTTACATCATGGTGTTATTTCCTCTTTTGGTTTGCAGTGCCCAGACCCACATTTCAAGAAGAGGCACCAGAAAAGACGGATTGTACAGAAGTCTTTGGTTGATGCTCTTGAAAAGCATCTTCCAACTGGTGGCCAGGTGAGCCAAGAGTGCTAAAGCTTCATAGCCTTGTCATAAAGATACTCTTGTCATAAATAGCTTCAGGTCTAAAATGGATGTGGGCACCGTTGGAATCCACGTTGTCATAATCGATCGATCAACCTGAATCAATTGTTTTTGGTTGGTCAGTAACCGTCAATGAGTTGTCGTGAGCAGATATTTCTCCAATCAGACGTGGAAGAAGTGGCCAAGGACATGCGAGACCAATTTGATGAAAATGTAAATTTTTCTCGTGTGCACCCACCTGGATCTAATATGTGTGACTCGGAGGGTTGGCTATTGGAAAACCATCTAGGAGTTGCAACTGAGAGGGAGATTCATGCTGTAGCTAACGGAGGGAGTATCTTTAGAATGTTGTTTCAACGCGTATGAAATTAAGTTGCCCACATTTTGCTCCTGAGCATTTTTATCAATTTATTAATCATTTTTGCTAGATGTCAGGTTTTTGAAGTTTTGAATATTTAGTTTTAATAATGTGGACAGTTGGGTTACCATCTATGTGTAATACTGGCTGCTTTAGCCCCTACAGAAAATTCAAAATTTAATGGATGCGGATATTTGGCGCTCTTGAAGATTAACATCATCACATCTCCTAGTTGAAGTGCCTTTTATGAAGACTGTATTTGAAAGGATTTTCAAATTCTTCTTCTACTATACATTTTCAAATATAACTCTGCATATCACTAACAAGCATATCCTTGAATGCGTGTTACATGAGTCACTGCACTCTTTATCATTCTTCAGTGCACCATATGCAACAGTGATTTTGGAACAGATTTACACACGAATGCTCGTCTTAAACACTGGATTTCTTGCAGAGTTAAGTAATCTATCCTTACCACTCAAGTGTGCTTTCAAATTCTTATGGAAAGGTCTATTTTTGAATTTCTCTTATCAACCTTGTGTATTTGAGTTAACTTTGTTTGGCATTGTTTTGTATTTGGCCAATATAGTTAAATTCTTTCATGGTTGCTAGCTTACAAAGAAAGCAATGAGATCAGAATTAATAATGCTACTGCATCAGGTGAGTAAGAGCAACATGCGGAGAACAAAACTATCTTAAAATGTACGGAGTATTGGTCTCAACATTGTACATTATTGTGTGAAGAAAGTGTGTCCTATTTAATGTGTTCCACATGTGTAAATGATTGTGGCACAAAGTGAAATGATATGGCTTTTATATTTTTTCTTTTTTCTTTTTGTTTCCTTCTTTCCTTTTCTTTTTCTTCTCTTGCACACTGGATATCTTGATGGTGGTAATACTTTATTCATACCAGCAGTAAAGCAAGTAGCTTTGTGTTTTTTTTGGTCATATACTTGAAAGAGCATATATTTTGTTTTGGATTCAACAAGAGTCTTTCATGTATGTAGATAACACCTTGATTGTTGGTTTGCAAGAATTAATCACTAAATTCAAAAATTGAAAGAATTAACAAATTAAAAAGCTTTGTAGGCTTAATTAATGAAAAAGAAGTATGTTCTTGTATATAGTGGTTTTAAATTCACATACATGCATATATAGATATAGATATATATATTTAGGATTTAAAATGACATGAGATTTAAATGAATACTATGCATCAGTAAAGATTTGACATGAAAAACTTATATGTGTTTATTTGAAATGAATCAAATAAATCAAAATTTATACAACTAAAATCTTGAACTTGCATTTTAAACATTTTTTATTATTTTATTTTTAATTTTACTATCATAAATCATTGTATTTATTTATGAACAATACTTTTAAATCGCAATTTTTATTTTCTTTTTAATTATTCCGTGAATAAATTATTCAATTGACCCAGAAATGTAAAATATAACCTGACACAAAGTCTAATCAGATTGGAACATTTCACAATAATAACACTATCTACCTCACTAGAATCTTTAAAGTCCATTAATATTCTTAATTCCTATTTTCTAATCCTGGTTTAATACTTAATTTACAAATAATTCACTATTAGGTATTATATATTTTCGTTTTTTTCAAATAAGCCAAGATTTAATGAGTCTGATTGCATTCAAAGATGAAAAAATAATAACAAAAAACAATTTATAACAAAAAGAATCGATAACAAAAAGAAGGTATTTGTATGAATAAATATGTATACCAAATTTGGTTTATCAAGTAAAGTGACAAAATTAACCAAAATTTTGAATTTATTTAATTCTAAAATCATGTAATACTTAAAATTATCATTCTCCCAACAAAAATATACGGTAGAAAAGGTAAATAGGTATTACATTGAGATTTGGCTATTCCATAGAATATGTAGTTTAAATTGTTGTCAAAAACACTATATTTCAAAGCATTGAGCGTTACATCCAAAATTATCAAATTAAACCATCACACAATATATATACTGATTTTTAATATGTGTTGAAAAATATCATTACTAAATACAATGTTGATAAAAATTCTTATTGTAAATATATCTAAAACTTATGAAGTTTATTTATTCTATTAAGTTATTATTTAAAATATAACTTTTTTTATTATATATATCATATATTATACTATTTTTTCATTTAATTTAATATGAAATAAATAAAATAAACAACATAATTAAAAATCTTGCAAAAATAACTCATATCATTCTAAGAGTAATGTGTTTCTAAGAGAAATATTACTAAATTAACAACTGTTGCAAAATTAAGATGTTTTTCAAAAAGCACATGAATTTTATTCTCTTTAGTATTTTTTTCAAAAAAAAAATTCTCAAGGAAAATTACCCAATACAGTCTGTCTGGTGGCAAAAAATATATATATATATATATATATAAACAAATATTTATTTATTTATTTATATTGTTTCATTACCAGACGAATTCAAAGTCTGTTTGCATAATTGTCCCCCTTGAAATGAATCCATGGGAACATTTGCGATACTGAGATACCTGGTCTAAGCTTCGAGTGAGAACGGGCCAGTACCCGGAGTAACATCGAGATGGGTATATGTCCGTATTAAGGATATCAACTAAAGGGGCGGGTATCTTTTAGTAATTGAGGCAGGTATGCACCCACGCCGATGAAGTGGCGGTGACATTGTGTGAGGGGGAGGTGGCAAGGCCACGTGGGATAGAAGGGGGGGGACATGGTGGCGGGAAGGTACAAGAGTGAGAGGCCTTCCTTATTCATTCATCCATCATTTAGGAGGGAAAGCCAGCATGGACGACGTCTTACCCGCCATGGTGCTGGTGACGTAGTACCCCCAAGCAAGCCCAGTTCAGCAAATCCCTCCAGATTTCCCTCCCTGGTGTGGTGGGACACCGCCAGCACGAGTTTACACACACTAACAAATACTCCTCATTAATATTTATTAAATACATATCATAAATTAATAAATAATTATATATATGGAAGAATGTTAAATAGACCCAATTTTTTACTAAATTGACCTACCCATAATGAAGAATATGGTAATCATGATGAATGTGGTTGGTTTTCATTGATTGTGGATCCAATAAACAAGAAATGAATCTAGATGTTATTTTATTTATTTATTTATTTATTAATAATGGTTAGAATGGGTGGGTCAATTTTGTAGAAGCCTGGGTCTATTTAACGTTCCCCAATAAATATATATATATATATATATATGAATCCTCCCTCCCACTATGGGAATGTTCCACCTGCCCTTTTCAGCCCTTTTATGTGTGTCTTGGCCTTGAGACATGATTTTGGATATGCAATATTGGACTTCATAACTATATCAAACCAACATGACAAAATATAAATAGAAAGATAATTACATTTATAACTAGTTTTTAAAAATACATTATTGTATGTATTAACAAATGCAATTAAAAAGAAAGAAAAAAACAAACAAAAAACAAATCTTAAGGACTCAGGTTTTTAACATACTATCCAAGTATTAACATGTGTTTGTGTGTTAGATTTTGTATGAAACTACTTATTTAAAAGGAATTCAATGACTGAATGTTATAAAAAGAGAATACAAGTTTTAATATGGCAATTTAAATCTCTCTTTAATTAAATGTATGATATATTTGTGTGCCAAGCTTTATGTAAGAAACATTCTTTCACATAGTTAAAAAGTAAAATTGCACATAATGTATTTCAAACTCTTGTATAGTATCTTGTTTAGTATTTTTAATATTAATTTTGAAGTGTATTATAATACAAAATTATATTTTTTTCAAGATTTATGTGAACACATAAAAATCTAATGGATATATATATATATATATATATATATATAACATGTGCATTATTCCTTTTTTCATTTATTACTTTGGTTTTAGTTGATGAACTTTTATCTGAAAATAAAATTAATATCTACTTTTAGTGTATGTGTATATATATATATATATATATATGTTATTATCGATTAATTGAGAAAGTTTAATAATAGTAATAGTCCAAAACGTATAAAATTGCTAATTTAGATATTTATTTCACATATTGAAAAGAGTTGTCGTTAAAAAAAAGTTCCTTTTTGATAGTTCGTAGTTTGTTTGAACACTTTATTTTGTAATGATTTATCATGATTGATATTAGAATATTTCAAATGCTAGTGTGTGTATTTATGGAATAATATTATTCCATTGTTACAGTGTGAAACAGTAACACAATTTCTGGAAGCTTGATTTAAAAATAAACAGGATTGATAAATGCTTGTGGAACATGCTTTCATGTCATCAAAACTACCACAAAGTGAAACTGAGGTCTTGCCACATAACTGCTTCAGAAAAAACATTAGATTTTTTATTGAATGTTGACAAATAAGTGAGGCATAATTTCAGTGATAGTCTAGATCGATGTATTAAATATTAAAAAATAAAATTTAATCTTAATTTTTAACTTGTAAATGAGGATTATTTTCTAGATTTTTAACAAAAATGTTGAGAAGGATGTGAAAGTTTTATGAAAAAAATAAAGAGATGTTGCATGATTAATAACAGTCAATTTTAGAGTTTCAAGAAGATGTGGTTCGCCCTTTCCCCTAAAAAGTACTATGGGTTCATATATTATGTAATTAGAATTGATTAGTTTAATGATGTTAATTGTGGACTCTTTTGAAGTAGAATAAAAAAAATCAAAATATACAAAAGAAAAAAGGAAAAAGGAAAACCATGATCGGAATCGGTTGAGATTAGCATCACACATTTATGAACCTCAATAGAGTATTTATTATATGCTTCATTTTAAGCGCTAAACAGTAAAATGTGTGTAAACAATATAAGTGTTGTATTCTCCGTACAGTACTATAGTTTATTTCAAAGAAAATGATAAGATGTAAATACAAATTTTTTTTAAATGAAAAAAATGTCAAAAATTCAATGTACGAAAAGATACTGAAAAGTTTGCATCCTACTTGATAGAACATATAATACTGTGAGTAAAGAGTACTGTAAAATGTGCTTTCGTTGCTCAGAAATTAATTGGCATTTACAACATACTTTTCCCATAGTTTGTAAGCCTCAGCCATGAGGTTTTCAAAAATGTTTGTACTATATATATATATATATATATATATATGTAGATAGTTTTTTTTTTTTTTTTTTTTTTTTTTTTTTCTGGTGTCAATATCACATGTGCAGAATTATATTTGATATGAAAAATCAGTGTAACTTCAAAAACACATACATACATACATACATACATACACATACATATATACATATATGTATTCTTCCACATATTTACATACATACATACATTTTTCCACATGCATACATACATACATATATAAATATATATAAATACTCATTTTCTTATCCATCCACATCATGAAATGATTCTCCTTTATTAAAATAACTGGTTATACAACACCCAAACTTGGCAATCTTAAGAAAAGTAGAACAAAGAGAGTGGGAAAAAGAAGCTCAATGATATGGGCATTAAAGTCAACCCCAGCACCAATGAATGGAAAATACCCCACTTTATTATGGAATCCTCCAGCATCTCTCCCCTACTACACATGGAACTCACAAACTCAAAGTCCTTGCAACCCAAAACCCATTTAAAAATCAAAGGCCCACAAAATATCAGTCAAATTTGAATTTGACTAATATACTCTATCATTGAGAATCATCGACAGTGCCTTTGAAGAATACTTGTGCCCATTCTTCCCATCCCCACAATCATACTTTAATATTCTGATTAAGAAAATCAAACTCTAAGACTTCCTTTTCCTTCCAAGGTGAAGACTTTAAGCCCAACTTTAGAGAAAGAACTTCACTAAAACTACAAAAAGCAAACACAGATGTGAATGCAAACGAGTTGAAACAAATGCAAACCCTCACTATTAGTAGTCATCAATGTACATTAATTCACAATTCATCAATTCCACAATTAGGGTTTGAAATAGAAGAAGAAGAAGAAGAAGAAGAATAACATGGCCCCTATCATTTCCCTATCATTAAACCTTAGACTTGGCCCTAATTCATGCCAGACCTTGCTACCTTGTTCATCATGAGGTATTCATAAACCTGATATTATTTATTTTTATTTTATGTTCAAATAAGAGAGAGAGAGACGAAATGGGCGCTGTTGAAGAGTCACCATCGGGGTGCCACGCTGGCAATCCCGGGCCGGGATTGGTCTTGACCCGCGCTGAAATAAACCCCGGCCCGGGCCGGCCCGACTTGTGCCGCTGGATGAACGAAAGCAAAAGAAACAAAGGGAATGAAAGTCGAGGAGGAGGAGGGAGGCTCGGCCCTCGAGGTGCCCGCCATAGCCACGGATCCTCACCTCCTCGTTGTTTCCTTGCGGTGAGTAGATCGCAACTACTCACCGAGTGAGCACTGTGTGTGGTTTGTTCCGGTATCTAGGGTCGCATTCAATTGGACCGGCTCGAGAGTTCTACGCGCATGATGGTTGACATGTGAAGAAGCCTCGTCGTCGTCTTACACTGTGCAGGAGGGAGGTGTATTTTGCCGATACCAGGTCTCGCTCATTGAGTGTTCATCATCGTCGTAGTGCGTCATCATGATCGCTAGTGGCTGTCGTCAGCGTGGGATTATCGGAGGTCTAGGGCATGATTTTCAAAGCTTAGTTTAGTTGGACCATGGCACGGCAGTTGTCGGAGTGGAGTGGAGTGGAGTTTTTATTAGAGGGGAGGAGCTTTATGACTGCAATTTGGAAAAGGGAGGGTGGAAGAGGGGGGAGAGGAGCGATTGTTGCGAGTTGGAAAGGGTAGGAGATGGCGGTGGATATGTTTGTGGGGAAGATTTAAAAACAATTAGTATTGGACAGGTGAACTGCGAGGCTACATGTTTCTGGTATGAAATTACCGAGGTGTGGTAGTGAGTGAGTGGAGTTGTAAGCGGAGGTGCAAGTAAGTTGGTTAGACCTGGAGGATAATGAGCATGTCTCCTCAGGATATGGAGGCTCCGGAGAAGAAGCGGTCGCCTCAAGCATGGAAGTTGAGATTGCCGTGGGAACAGCAAAAACAGGCGGAAATGCAGAAAAGCGCTTTTATCCAGAGCCAAGAAAACGCCAGAGCTAGCACCTCCTCAGTGTCGACCCTTGCAAGGGCGTTTATGATTAGCCGGAAACGGCTACGGCTTGACCCTGATAAGAAATTACACTTTCTATGTAAGTTTGCAGACAAAGTTAACACATGTTCATTTCCTGTTTCGCCACATGTTGCGCCTCTCCTCAATGGATTTCCTGTGTTGAATTCTTGTCCTATTCTCTCTTTGACTTATTTTAGTTCAAAATGGATGGGGCTGTTAGGGGACAACATATTAGCCGAAGGTGCTTTTCATAGACTCGGGTGATTAGTCCAGGAGTGTAGTGGATTACGATATTCGCTTGTCGTTGGGCCTCGCCTCTTTCAAAGAATTAATTTACAGGAGATTGCCGATCCGTAAATGTTAACCTACATCCCTGAAAATTCTGATGTAGAATCGATTGGCAGATGTAGCACACAATACTGAAGAGCTTGATTATTGATATAGAATTTTGTATTCTAGTTAAGTCTTCGTTATCATAGGATATAAAACAATGCAATTTAGAAGGGCAAGTCTCACTTTCTGTAACTCTGCTCAAGTGACTATCTGGTAGAATGCCGTTGCTGTTTAGTGCTTGATCCTGAGGATGCTGTGTTCAGTCTGTATTATCTCCAAGCCTTTTTTCCGAAGTGTAACTAGATTAATTTACTCGTGTAAGGAACAAGTATTTGATTCTCTATGTTAAGCTGGCTGTTCAACACGCTGTTTTCCTAATTCATCACTGACAGGGATTGTTCAAGTAGTTTGTCAGTAGTGATCGTCAACAAAAAAAACGTAGATCGTTCTTTTATTTCTATGCATGAACCAGCTGATCCATTGTTTGGGAATGGAATTTTTTTATTGTGATGGTGAGTTATCATCTCATCTTAAATTAAGTAATTCATTTGTAATTCTTAATAGACGAACCTGGAAAACAAGTTTCAAGCGCAATCAAGATCAAGAATGTAAGTCGCACGCACGTTGCTTTTAAGGTGAGGATATTCTCTCTCTCTCTCTCTCTCTCTCTCGCTCGCTCGCTCATAGAATTCAAATTGCCGACAGTGAAAGGTATGCATTGATAACTAGTTCGTGAACTAGATTGTCTTTTTCTTTCCATGAACATGAGCTCACAAGTAGAGGATACATGTACTTGGTTATCTCTAATCGAAAATTGGTGGTAAAGCCTGGTCGCATTCAACATTGTAAGTTTCATCAGAATTATTGGAAGTTTTAGATGATACATTCAACTGAAGAAGCTCAGTCACGCATAATCGGTAATTTGTGCAGTTTCAAACCACAGCTCCAAAAAGCTGCTTCATGCGCCCACCTAGTGGTGTACTTGCGCCAAACGCGACCATCATCGCAACAGGTACAGGTCATGATATTGATGTACAACTAGTTTCTTCTGAATGTGCCATATACAAATGGGAATGTCGAACTTACGTTTTCTCTTTTTTGATGAGTATGTAATAGCTGTAACGTGGTTCCAATTTATGCTGCAGTTGTGAAGTTTTTAGAACAGCCTGAAAACGAACGTCCACAAGAAAAAAAGACCAAGGACAAATTCAAAATTGTCAGCTTGGCTGTGCAACCAGGGATTGATTACACTCCAGAATTGGTGAGAATCTTTCGCTTCAACTCATCAGCTTGCATGTGTCGAGTTAAATGTAATCTATGTGGACTTTAGGTGTAGGTGAGTAATATGGAATCGGCATATTCGTCATGGGCATTATTGTAGAGTTATTCATTATATAGTAGTGAAGTGAGCACTAAGCAGATGGGAGGGATCCCGGCGTCTGGTCTAAAATTGTCATGGTTTCCTACTCGTTCTGTCGTCCTTTTGCATAAAAGATTTTTCTCCTAGCACAAAACTGGTTTCTTATCTGCTGATCATGAGTTGCAGTTTGAAGATGAAAAGGAACTGGTTACTGTGGAGCGCATCCTTCAAGTGGTCTTTATTGATCCACATAAAGCATCTCCAGTGAGTGCTTCTCAATTAAAGCCCCCTGCCAGTTGACGTTTGAGGTTAGGAAAGATGTAGGAATTATGCCGCAGTTAACGCTTTGATAAATATTTAACTTTCTTTACCCTAGGACTCGAGTAACGATTTCATGACTACAATCTTGCAATTTGTGGCTCCATACACAACGTAGTTGGATGGCGCTTCTTCTTGGCAATGCACCTAATTAATATTAAATCAAAAGGTAAATTAAGCGTGAGAAGAATCAAATAATAAATGATATGTTTGGAATTAATGCTCCAAGGACCTTACTATAGAGACTTGTATTTGGGGCTGAACTTATGTATTATGTCTGTTGACTGTATCAGCGATATTGTTGTATGCATTCAGCTGAGTGAAATTTTTGTGATCAACTTTGGAATAGGAGGAATTGGATAGGTTACAAAAGCGTCTGGCAGAAGCTGAAGCAGCTGAAGCAGCTGGCACGAAGCCTGCAGCGGAAATGAACTCTAAGGGCACCATGGTTCTGGAAGGACTTGTGATCGATGAATGGGTAAATCAAGTCTTTCAGATCAAGTTATGAAGTTCTGGTTCTTAGAAGGATAGCGATGTGGAAGCTTGTCATAATTGGTCAGATTTTGGGAAGACTTTTGTTAGGAATTTACGGTCATGATTATCTCATAGAACTGTTTTGGCATGGAACTTTGTCTTAGTTTTGTATTTTTCTAAATTGTTGTGGAATGATTGGGTGTCAATGTCATTGTGTTGCATGATTGAGGTGATGATGGATATGATGAAGGTATTTCAAGGCTTCATTTCTAGCATTTGATTTTGAATAACATTTTCAAAAATTATTTGTTTGCAGAAACAGCGTAGGGAAAATTATCTCGCTCGGCAACAAGGTGAAGGAGGGGAGTCCTTATGATACTAGGGTTTATTCGTGCAGTCTGGAGGATGGACAACAACCTGACCTGGGTTTCGCAGGCTGTCGGCAGAGTTTGTGTACAGGCGTTCTCTTCGAGGAGAATCAGTTCATTTCAATTAGTACCTATTTTGTAGGGTTCGTTGCATGCCACTGTTTGCGCCAGTGCTCCATGTTACGCATCCTTTAGATAGATTCGTGTGGAGCAACTTCCTACTGAACAACTGTAGTCTAGACAAGTTCGCTGAAGGCATTCTATATTTCGAGTCTCGAATCCAATCCTTTTCAGCATCAAAGAGACCATAAATCCCAAGTGCCAGCCCTTTTGCTCAACGCAAGCGTTCAGTTTATGAGTTCGGGTTGGAAGGCGCTTGCTGATGATGGGAGGTTAAAGATCCACCGCATGCCTTTGTGCGGCTTCCTCCCATCCCTCACTAATTTGTTGATACTTAACATTCTTCATAGCTACAACATTCACATGTTAGCATGCACACGTTTCATTCGGAGTATTACTTATGCAGCTTGGAGAATTGATGTTGCTTCTTATAAAAGCTAGCGGCATCGTGGGCTGTATATTTCTTTTGGGTACGTGCTAATATACTGTTAACAACTGCTTTAGTTATTAATATTTTTGGTCAACAGCAACTTGTTGGGAGTGCAGTCTCAATTCACTTTTGTTTATTTATTTTTTAATTTCTTATGTCCTTCCGATTCAGTCTGTCCGTCCTGGTTGCTGTTGGGTGCTGCTGCATGGAAGCAATGAGCGTTACTTAATCACTTATGTGTCATGATGAATGGATATTGAATGCAGAAAGTTGCTCTGCAATCGGTCAGAGCTAGCTTGTCCACTGGATTTTCTGTCACTTTGTGAATCTATTCAATTCTTTCGGGGGCCAGGGACTTGCAACTATGCCCTGGTCTGGTCCTGACACTGTGTTGGAGGTCATCATTCTGTTCACCACAAGAATCAGATGACTAAGTTTATTTTGTTTTATTTTGTTTTTGTTTTTGTTTATCTGAAACAGGAGGGCGAGTATTGCCTTGGGTTTTGTAAAAATGAAGTTTATAAGAAATACCAATGTCAGGAGAGCAATCCCACGTCTTGGATGTATCTTATTGTTTCTAATTTATAAGATGTACGTTATATTTTTCGAAAAAACATTTTTTCTTTTTTTTTAGAGGAGTGTTCTACTTATATAAAAAAAAACTGTAATGTCTCGAGTCAACATGTTTTGTTATATTCCATGAGATGTAACTATATAATTTTTTTATTTATTCTCACCTTGTCATAGTTTTTGTCCCAACTTGTTATTTAGTTGGTTAATAGCTAAAACCTAGATATTGAAGTTTTTTTAAGAATAGTGTTAAGTTGATGTAATTTTAGTGTTAATATTTTAATTCCTGTTTTGATTCTTGTTCAAATTTCCTTTTTAGTTCATGTGTTAGTTGTTAGTTTAGTTTGGAACTAGTCTTTAAATTGATAATTAGAAGAATTAAAAAAGAATTAAGATTAGAAAAAATTAGAAAAATGGTGGTGGTGGTTGAATCTTAGCTACCAAGGGTTTCTTTAAGATGCAACTCCAAAGACTTCTTACTGTATGTAGGCTAGCAAAACAAGATAATTTGAAGGTATGGAATTAGGGAGTTAAGGTTTTGGAATGGAATTATAGATTTGAGTGTAAGAGTAAGGGTTTCTATATGCTTCTAAGTGCTTAGAGTCTTTGGAAGTTGCCAAGATGACTAAGAAGAATAAAGAAATGCACTAAATACACAAATTGTTTTAGATTTTTTAAAAATGTTTTAAGCTTTGAACACCCTAGCTTCTTATTTAAAGAAATTTCATTATTTTTCCTTAATTAGTTTATTTCAAAACATAATAAAATAAATTGTAGTTGTCAAAACTATATAATTAACATTGTCTATTTTACCTATTCAAAATTAGTCTTATTAAATAATAATACTGAAGTTTTTCATCTATTCTACAATAAAAATGGAAGAAGTTTAGAGGTAGTAGATTTTCTTGTCATATCTTTTTTTGAATTAAGAATATATATTTATTTAATTTAAAAATAGCTTTTGTTTCTTTTTGTTTTCAATATTATTAACCTTTATTTAAAACAAGGACCAAATCATAGAACCTCTATAGATTTGATGATAAAATTTTATAAAACATAATTATTATATTTAATTGAATTCAATTCCAAAGAAGAATATATTTAATTCAAAAGATAGAATCTAATAATTTTTTTAATAAGCAATCTTAATTTTTTCAAAGATATATTAAAAAAAAAGAAAAAAATTTAAACTATTCTTAATCTATTATTTTACTTAGTGCAAATTAAACTTTTAATAAAAATTTCTTTGAATTTTTTTTAATTAAGGTTAAAATAAAGTTGATTTATAGTTTTTATTCTTTTTAATTTATTAAAGTTTACAAAAAATAATTATAGTATGACTCTAAATAATTAAAGATTATTTATTCTATTGAATGAATCTTTGATTATTTGAAACTATTATTTTAATAAAAGACCAATGCTATTATAATGTATGGATTTAATATCATGAGGACTCGAATAATTTTTATTAATTAAAATATTGATAAAATTTTATAATTTATTTTTATTTTAGATTTTTTAAATTTTATCTTATCACATAATAACTTAAAATGTACAAGTCTATTTTTTATTAAAGATTTATCATAGTCATTTTTAGTCCTTCTATCTTTATAGGCTTAAGCAAAAATATTATCTAAATTTAATATTTAAATGATTTTTTAATAAATTTTTAATAAGATTTTTTATGGTAAAGATCTCTTTAATTTTTTTTATCAAATAATATATATATATATCTATATATTTGAAAAATATATAATTATATTTAGTTTCTACTAAATTTTCTTTAAAATATTATTTTTAGAAGATTATGGTATTTTAATAAATAAAGTATTATCTTAAATTGTTTCTCTATTCTAATTTATTTTTATTTTTATTTTTATAAGTTCAACTATCTTCTTAAGAATGTTTGTATGATGTCTTATAATTATTTTTAATAGTATTTCAATTTTGTATCTTAAGACAAAGCTTGCTTAAGAAGACCTACAAAGATATATTATAATATCTATATATTTTAATATCTCTTATATCAT